AGTTTGTTTCCACCAGCAACACCATCAGTTTACACCATCACCACTAATACACGAGCAACATATTACACTAAGACTTAATGACAGCTACTAGGCAACAGGAATGTTTCAGCTCCGATATAATCTTTTAAGATTACTGTCCTATATGTAGACTGTTGTTTACAGAAATGTCATTAGGTGGTACATGACTACATATACTATGCTTTTTCCTATACTTGGCTATCAATGATAAAGTTTGATTTATAAACTACACACAGTAAGAGATTAACAATAACAAATAATAAAATACAACGATGATAATAATATTTTGTAATTAAAATTGTGAGTGTGGTCACTCTCTCTGCTCATTGGGAAGACACCAACAACGAGTATCCAGAGAAAACCCACGCAGACACAGGGAGAACGTGCAAATTCCACAGAGAGTGGCCCAGCCTAGAACTGATTTTTCCTCACCAATATTATAAGCAAGAGCCATTCCTCAAGGACCTGCTGTACAGCGTGAGTGCAGTGGACAGAGGATGGAGCACATTCCAGACAAGGAGAACAGACGGCATGAGATTCCATCACGCTCCTCGGAATGGCAAGCCATTTAAAACTTCAGAACTGTTTATTTCTGGGGTTTTACTATAGCGCATTCTTAGACCAAAGTAAACCCCCAGTAACTGAAAGCATGAAAAGCAAAAGCTAGGATAAGGGGGGACTACTGTGGGTCCTTATCTTTCTCCATGACAGAGGTCTGTTCTCCAGGAGAAAGACCTTACCAAAGCCTTGAGCTATGGGCAAAGGGCACAGCCCACAGTCCAGACCCACTTAGCCTCCTTCTCTCAACTGGAAGGGGAGACAGGGAAAATGAATAAACATGCAGCAAGGTCACAGTCCAGAGACACCAAAATTAACTATAAAGCAATACAACACCCCCCACCTTTACGAAAATATCAACAGGGCTCCAGTATTACAACAGGGATTGCAGTGGAAAGAGACGCCAAGCACAAACTCAGTCCTCAGAGAAGCCCAAAGACCACAGGAGAGACAAGAACAAGGACACCGGGAAAAGTTGACGCCTCTGGCCCCTATAACTACAGTAATCATTAATTACAGCCCAACTCCCAGCCAGACGCACATTAAACCTCACACTATTTACCTGTTTACCTCAGTTCCTATGACCCCTTGTATCACGTCACTTTTAACAAAACATTACACGGCATGCTAAAAGACAAGAAAATAGAAGCAGGGAGATCAGGTCCCAGGCTTTTAGTAATAATCCGATGGACGATGAGGTGGGAGGGGTAAAACGTGGTCAAGATCTGGATGTATTTTGAAGACAGCAGGATGACTGCCTGATGAAATGGATGCAGGGTGTGAAAGAAAAACGCGGAGCTCTGGATGACTCCAAAGTGTGGACCAGAGCTGCTGGGAGATGGAGCTGCCATCCACTGAGATAGCAAAGGCTTCAGGCAGAGCAGTTGGCTGGAGTACAGGGGTCAGGAATTCCATTTCTGACACCTCACATGACTTATGAACCTGGTCAGTTGTGCATCCATTTAACTAATAATATTTGGAATGCCGAAATACTACAGCACTCCTTGTTAGGAAGAAGACATACACATGTACTGGAAAACAGTGAATGGCAAAATGAACAAATAATCAAACATTTGAACCATGTCACCCAAAGGACTTCGCCAGAATCAGAATCGGAACTGGAAACAGTAACAGTAGGTAAGGCTGGAAAACATCCTGGAGTTTACAAAATGCTGGGGCCAAGTCCAGGACACAGACCGTTACACACACTCTAGCACCTGAGGACCTGCCGCCCCTTCTTTCCAGGTAAGAAAATTCGGCTGGGTACTTGGCTTCCCAGAATAAAGACACATTTCCCAGCCTTCCTTGCAGCTGGGTGTGGCCAGTCGTCTGTGAGCAAACATGGGTGTGCAGTTTCTGAGATATGCTCTTAAAGAGAATGGGTACACCCACCATTTGCCCTCTCTCCCCCCTTCCTGTTAGCTGAAGTGCTGATGTGATAATGAGCCCTCCTGGATTCCATGGACAGGCAGACACTACCAAGATGGCAAGGGAACAGAAGAGAAGGAGCTGGGATCCCAAAAACGCATGGCGCCATCTTATCAGCACTGGGCAGCACATACTTAGATTGTTACATGAAAGCTTCTAGCTTATTTAAGCCACTGTTATCATGGCTCTTTGTTACAGTAACTTAAAACTTAACCAATAAATTTAAAAAATCCTCAGAACAATCCTGTGATGTAAGTAACATGCTGAGATGTTTCTTCTTTTAACTCTTTATTACGCATCTGCTTTAAAGAGCAGAAAAATAAACTGGTAGCACAGCCTTGTTTTATATATTTATATCTACCAGTGAAGAAAAAGTAAATGGAAAGCATTCTGTGAGAACTGATTGCAACAACTGTTACAGCAAGATTTAGGTTCAGGCATCCAATAAACTATGTCCCACTCGCTACCTAAAAAAGCCACGTGGTGAAGATTTTTCCACAAGAATATGCTATGCACTGTAATTTCACTCATGTGGAATCTAATGAACAAAATGAACTAATAAACAAAAGAAAGACAGGCTCATAGATAGACAGCAGGCTGACAGGTGTCAGGGGTGGGTAGGGGTGGAGGGATTGAGGGGAGAGAGAGAGAGAGAGAGAGAGAGAGAGAGAGAGAGAGAGAGAGAGAGAGAGAGAGAGAGAAACTCAAAACAAATAGATTTAAAAAATAGAGTCTTGACTTAATTGATAATGAGATAAGGATGTCAGAGTTGCTTCTGGTGTGTCTAGATCAGCGATTTTCAACTTTCATGCCACAAGATTTTTTAAAACATGCAATACCTGACTAGTCAGGGGCACTGACCTCTTTTCCCTTAGATTATCAAATAAAAAAAAATGACAACAGCCAACACAACAACAGTCATCCAGTGTGAATGAATCAAATGCATACCTTTTGTTTTATTTGTCAGATCAGCAAAAAATATATATTTTTTTTGTGCAACACAGAATTTTAGCTATTAATTTATGTGTGCCATTGCTACTGGTGTAATAACATAGTTGTTATTATTCACCGAAAAGCTTGCAATTAATACTCCAGGTCTATTCCCGGAATGGGGAAAGGGACTGGACAAAAGCAGCTTAGATGCATGCCCAGCAAGGTCTGAGTGACATGGGAGGTACCTAACTGCCTTGGAAGTTGCCTACTTGTCCATCACACCTGGGAGTGAGTCAGTGGCCAAACAGGTGTGACCACTGCAAGCACTAGAAGCCTGAATATTTAATCTTCTAGACAAAGAGCTCTCTCCTCACTGCTGCACAAAGAATCCCAGCTTGCGGGGCTCCTATGCTCTGCCCCTGTCTTGTGGCCCTTGGCCATGTGGGACCCATAAAATGGACAAATGAACTAAATCTAGACTAATCCTAATCTGGACACAGCTGCATCATGGAACGGACACTCTGGATTTTGGCTTTATTTCTGGCCTTGCTGAACTCACAACTGCCCCTCTTCCAGGACTGGACTGAGGGACATGGGGCTTTAGAACCCAGAAGTGTAAATCCACACCAATAAAAATCATCCATTCTCCCATATGGGCTCCTGAGTGTGCTTATTTTGACTGCACACAAAAAGCCTCCTGTCCATGAGTGTTGGAGAAATCTGGCCCTTTTATGCTCCTGACGACACCATGACATGAAAAAGTTGAAAATTGCTAGTTTAGATATAGATAGACAGATAGATAGATAGATAGATAGATGATAGATAGATAGATAGATAGATAGATAGATAGATAGATAGAATCTCCTGATATATATTTTCAGGTCATTCCATACAAGTGAACAGTTTAGTACATTTAGTATTTAAATACTGGTACAGAATTCTGTTAGGAACAGGATGGATGGGTGGGTGGGTAGGTAGATAGATAGATAGATAGATAGATAGATAGATAGATAATCTCCTGATACATATTTGCAGGTCATTCCATAAAAGTGAACAGTTTAGTACTTTTAGTATTTAAATACTGGTACAGAATTCTGTTAGAAACAGTAGAAAAAGATGAATTCAAATGCTACACAAGCAAACATACTTTAAAGGACACATAACTTAAAAAATGGATTAAGAAGAACAAGACTATTAGGCACTATGTACTATGATATATTTCTGTACTTAAAATGTAAACTTATTTTTATTCACTTGCTCTCAAACTCCCATCACCATTTAATTGCCTAAACCAGAGAAGTCCACTGTAACAGCTTTGGACTCTTCATTTATGCTTTAAAGGAGACTACTTTCTACTAGGGCTATAGATTCTGAGATTTGCTGAAATAACTTTCTAAATCAAAACCAGTAATAAAAACTACGATCAATCTTCTCATGGCACAGTGAAAGTTTATTTCCCCAAGTGACTTAAGAACTCAAATGAGAATGTGCTAACTACTTGGCGACACCCCAATTATTTAGCCTCTGCGAAGCTGAGGATGACTCACACTTACGTATGTACACACTGACACCCAGAGACACAACTGAAAGACTCAGAGGTAGACTTACCTCCAAGTCCATTAACTATGTCAGTGTCATTCTCATGGTATTTCCTCAAGTGATGCTTAGAAAACAGAAGAGCTAAAGTATGCTTGTTTTCTAACCTGACTTTTATTACATGATAAAAGAGATGGTGTCTATGTCAGTATTTTAAAATGTGGAGACCAAGTATTTTTCTAAACTCTCATGATAGTCAGTGTTTTTACATAACAGGAGTTCTAATCCCTCTAGACAAATGTAGCCAAGAACATCAGAAAATACTTCCTTATTCCAAATACAGAATGCTGGCATGCCTCTAAATTGCACTGCTCATCTCTTAAAAAAGAAAAAGGAAAAAAAAAAAATACGGATATTGCATAAAAGGATCTCTTCATCCTTAATCCTGTGTTTTCAGGCAAGACACAAAGATATAAAAAGGTAGAAAGAGTAAACTGTATAGGCAAAAGCATAAAAGAAAGCATTACCTTTAGCGGGGTTTACTTTGATCCCTGATCTATAGAGCATTTCCTCATTCTGCCAGTCTCCATTCCTGATTGCAGTCTTGAGTCCATAGAAAACAATTAATGTAGCTGTAGCATAAAAAATCAAGCTCTTGAGAAACCGCTTTTGGACTTTCACATAAAGGGCTCTGGCACCCACTGTAATGAGGAGGCAGAAGCCCATACTAGGAATATACAATACTCGCTCTGCGATGACAAAGCCGACATAGAAAAACAGGTTCGTGGCAGGAACAAAGGGTATTATTAACAAAGATAAAGACAAAACAACAATGTTCTCTGTAGAAGGAAGTTGTGTTCTCTGTGATACATTATTTTTAATGCCATTTTCTACTTTGGATGCAAAGCTGGGCTTAATCTCTGAGTTTCGATACTCCACATCTGAATGGCAGCTATGTCCATTTGCATTCTGCTTGCCATTTGTTACAAATTTCCCATCGCATTCTCTGTCCAGACTTGGGCTCTTTAAACCACAGTAGGCAAGAAGGAGGAGTCCAATATAGAAGGCCACAGTGTGTAGGTTTCTCCAATCACAAATTGTTTTGAGCAGAGGCACGGCATCCATTGACCAATCAAAACTGAGGGTATCTGGGCAGAGCAACAGCCAGAGGTTCTTGGTTGGCAAATAGAAGAAGGTGAGCGTGCGAGCCAGAAGGCTATCAGAATCAGCAGCTGGGTTGTCAGAGTTGGAAAAGCTCGGTGGTTTGTTTCCCATCCAGTATAAACGGGCACCCAAAAGGGAAGTCCCCCAGAGAGTTAACAAACTAATGCTGAGGAAAAGAGACAAATTCTTCCCCTGAAACCAAAACAAAGGAGGAAAAATTAAGATAATCATCAATACAGCATGGCAATACTTCAATTAACATTTAGAGATGAAATACATTTTTAAATGGATAGTTAAAAACACAGCATCATATCTCATATATATGATTTCATTTCCATCTCCTCTTAAACATGCTTAGGAAAATTTTAACCTAAAAAAATGACTGTGGAATCCTACTTGTTATCTAACTTTTGATGAGTAACTTTTGCTACCATTTCTTTAAAAAAATATATTTATTGATTTTTTAGACAGAAACATCAACGTGACATTGATGGGTTGCCTCCCACATGCCCCTTACCAGGGATGGAGCCTGCAACCTGGGCATGTGCCCTGACTGGGAATGGAACCAGCAACCCCTCAGTGCATGAAACGATGCCCAATCAACTGAGCCACACCACCAGGGGCTCATTTCTATTCTAAAGTACCAACAAATAAAGTTTCAATTTCTTAACCTCTACAAAATGGATTGTATGCATTTCCTTCTTGGAATCAGCATCAGGTCAAAACGAGAACACAATGTGAAAGTACTGAGCATTCTATATGGGTTATAGTAGGCACCTAATAACTGAGTTTTTTCATTTTATAATTTAGATTCTGGAGAAAAACAAAAAGCAGTCATGACAAAATATATGGGGTATAACTCAGCTCGAAAGTAGAACTAGCATTTCACTACGTCTGTGCCAATCCTGATTTTGTTGTCTTGAATCCCCTTGCAGAATTATAAACCAGGCTCTCATCTACTACCACATGCTGCAATGACATCAGTGACATAAGCCATTTCATTAACAGTCCTCACGAATGTGAAACTATTCATGTTGATAACAATTTCTTACAAAAAAAAAAAAAATGACTTTAAAACGGACTTATTTTAAGAGAAAGAAAATTGTGAGAGGAAGGCTAAAGGACATCCTTGTTAATGAAAATGTTCTGGCAAACTCTTGCAACCTGAATAAGAATTTGGTGACCTCAAACAATCTATATCCTAAAAAATGCAGTCAGGAAGAGGAAGGGATGGACACCATATCCCGACCTGAATGATTCACCGGAAATTCGATATCTTAATGCATACATTCTTGCCTTGCATAAAACTTTCTTCCTCAGTGACATTCAGATGGCATCTGGAAACTTATAATGGATATATAAAATATTTAGTTAAAAAATAAACAATCCACCAAAGGCAACAAAAAACAAAAATAAACAAGTGGGATTATATTAAACAAAAAAGTTTCTGCAAAGAAAACCATCAATGAAATGAAAGGTGAAATATAGCAGCAGGCAAGGCCAGAGGGAGGGTGAGTGTGTGAGAGAGTGTGAGTGGATGTGAAGGTGGATGAACAAACTCATGCACTGCAGAGATGCGGAGCAGAAGGTTCCTGTGCTGTAAAGTAGAGCAGCCAGCTACCACAGTAAGTGGCCCTTCAGGGCGCTTCTCCCTGCTCTGTGGGGAGGTCCCACCATTTTGGAAGATCCCAAGTCTTCCCTGGGAGGAGGCAGTGGGAGCAGCTAGGGCCCAGCAACGTGAGCCACCAGCGCACCTGGCACTATCAGACCAGTGAACACTCTGTATCAACACAAACCAGTGCGCAGTAGGGGAGCTCCCAAGGTGCTGGTCATGGAAGCCGTGGACAGCCTGGAGCCCAGCACCATCACCCATAGTAGCAGCCCTATCAGAGTCCAGATATACCCCCCAGCAACAGAGGCTGGGAAGGAGACATCTATCCCCAGGCAACAGAAACACAGACCAGCAGATGAGACCCATCCCCAAAAACTACAGCAAAAGCTGAGCAGGAGTTGAGCCTCATGGGGCAACAGCACTCCCCAGCCTCCAGCAGTGGGACCTGGGGCTCCACAGAGGCCTGTGCAGTCCAGTAGTTCACAAGAGCAGTGGGAAGCCGCAGCCCCAGAGAGACTGGTGCAATCCACCTGCCCGCCTGTGGGACCTGCAGGGTGCAAGGGCACCAGAGAGGCCTGTGCAACCCACCAGGAACTGTGCCATCCAGTTACCCGCAGGACCTGCGGGTGCTGAAGCACCAGAGAGGCCTCTGTGCCCCCACAGAGACTGTGTGATCTAGCTACCCTTGGGACCTGCGGGGTGCAGAAGCATCAGAGAGGCCTGTGCGACCCAGCAGGGAATGTGCCATGCAATTACCCACAGGACCTGTGGGGTGCTGAAGCACCAGAGAGGACTGTGAGACCCAGTAGAGGCTGTGCGATCTAGTTACTCATGGGGCCTTTGGGGTGCTGAAGCACCACAGATGCCTGTGTGACCCAGCAGCCCATAACATAGGCATAGAGCCAGGTCCCCAAAGGGACTGTGCAATCCAGTTACCTGCTGGACCTGCAGGGTGTGGGGGTACCAGAGAGGCCTCTGCAACCCAACTGTGCACAAGATAGGCAAAGAGGATCTGAAAATGGAGGCAGAGTGAATAGAAGCTACTCAGACAATCTCCCAGGACCAAAGGGGAATTACAACTAAAATAAAGACAAATCCTTGGAAAAAAAGCAACAGAAAAGCAATACAACAGGACCAAAACCAAGGACACTGGTAGGATCTGTGGAGGCAAAAGAGGGTTACAGGCTGAGAGCCCACGGACAGCAGCAGTCTTAGCTGTGAGCAGCGCCCTTGGGGAATAAAGACCAAGCCTGCTCCACAGCACAGAGAGCCAGGACAGAGCCCCAAATTAGCCACAGTCACTCACCTGGGGACTATGGCAGACTAGGGTGAAATTCTGTGGGGACACCCGGGAATTGGAGGACACTCAGAGATTTTGCTGAGTTGCAGCCACATAGAACAGTAGCCAGTGTGCTCGTTCCCCAAGCTGTGGGGAATGGCAGCAACTCCCCCCACCACCACCACCACCTAGGAGATTCAGCCTTTCCCAGGTGAGACAAACAAATGAAAATTGAGGATCATTAATAACTAACATTTATCCCACCCTCTGGAAATCCTCTTATGCAGAACACCAGGGCTACATTCCAAGGCACTGAGTAACTGAGACTACTAGCACCAGGAAAAAGCTAGAAGATAACTGAACCTTTCCTGGGCTTGAAAATCTACTCAAGAAAGTAATACTTCACAGTGGTGTATAACATGGGTCCTCCCAGGCTTATCCAAACCCAGTAGAGGAAGCCACAAACAGCAGAACACCAACACCCACAGGGAAAATTTGGCAGGCTCCAAAACCCACTGAGATAGCTAAAATGGTGAAACAAAGGAACAAATCGCAAATGAAAGAAAAAGAGAACTCTACTGAAGATGAGATAAATGAAATGCAGCTAAGCAAATTTTCAGAGGTAGAGTTCAGAGCCATGATCTTGAAAAAGCTCAACAGCATGAGTAAGGACATCATCACCATGAGTAAAGATATAGAAACATTAAAAACCAACCAAGTGGAAATGAAGAATGACATAGCAGAAATTCAGAACACATTGGAAGGACTAAACAGCAGAGTAGAGGAAGCTGAGGACCGGATCAGTGAATTAGAATACAGGGTAGAAAAAATCAACCAATCAGAAAACAAAAAGAAAAAAAAAACAATTAAAAAACAGGAAGATACCTTAAGAGAACTGTGGAACAACAGAAAACGTAACAACATTTGCATCGTAGGAATCCCCAAAGCGGAAGAAGATGGGCAAGGGTTAGAAAATATATTCAAAGAAATAGTGACAGAAAACTTTTCTAACTTGGTGAAGGAAGAAGGCATTGAAGTTCAAGAAGCACAGAGAGCCCCATGTAAGAAGAACCCAAATAGGCCCACACCAACACACATAGTAATTAAAATGCCCAAAATTAAAGACAAAGAGAAAATCCTAAAGGAAGCAAGAGATAAGCAACAGGTTACCTACAAAGGAAACCCCATGAGGCTCTCGGCTGACTTCTCAACAGAAACACTACAGGCCACAAGGGAGTGGTATGAAGTAATCAAGGTCATGAAAAACAAGGATCTAAATCCAAGACTACTCTCTCTAGCAAGGCTATCATTCAGAATAGAAGGTCAAATAAAGAGCTTTCCAGACACACACAAAAAAAGCCTAAGGGAATATATTAACACCAAACCAACACTGCAAGATATGGTAAAAGGACTGCTGTAATTAGTAGAAGAAATAGGAAGAAAAATAGAACCACACTAAACAAAAATAGCAATAAATAAGTACTTATCAATTATGACCTTAAATGTGAATTGTTTGAATGCTCCCATAAAAAGACACAGAGTAGCTGATTGGATAAGAAAGCATGACTCACATATATGTTGTTTACAAGAGACCCACCTTCCAAGAAAAGACATAGGTTGAAAGTGAAGGGATGAAAAAAAATCTTTCAAGCAAAAGAAAAGCAAAAAAAGCTGTGGTAGCAATATTCATATCTGATAAAGTAGATTTCAAAATGAAGGCCATAACTAGAGACAAAGAAGGCCACTACATAATATTGAAAGGATCTATCCAACAGGAAGATATAACCTTGGTAAACATATATGCATCCAATATAGGAGCACCAACATATATTAAAAATCTTCTGGAGGACTTCAAGGAGAAATCTACAGCAATACAATCATAGCACGGGACTTCAATACCCCGCTGACATCACTGGATAGATCTTCTAGACAAAAAAATTAACAAGGAAACACAGACTCTAAATGAGGAGCTAGATCAAATAGATTTAATAGATATCTACAGAGAATTACACCCCAAAACTACAGAATTAATATTCTTCTCAAGTGCACGTGGACATTCTCAAAGATAGACCATATGTTAGGGCAGAAACTAAGTCTCTACAAGTTCAAAAAGATTAAAATCACATCAAGCATCTTCTCAGATCACAATGGCATGAAACTAGAAATCAATTGCAACAAGAACATGCAAAGACAGTTGAAAACATGGAGGCTAAATAGCATGTTATTAAACAATGAATGGGTTACCATGGAGATCAAGGAAGAAATTAAAAACTTCCTGGAAACCAATGAAAAGGAACTCAC